CGTTGAGCCAGTTATCAGGAACTAGTGCTGTATCTGTATTGGTATACTTGACGGACATAAATCAGTGCTACTGTAGGAACTGTATTACTGTATTGTAATTGCTGGTCTTGTGCTATCTAGATAAACTTGGAAATCAACCTTCGTTCATTGATTTTTGCCAATGGGAGTAGCGATTATATTCTCATATGTAGCCACGGTCTACCGTAAAATATTGAATTTCAAAATTTAAGGCTTTTGAGTTTACATTTGACCCATTTCTACAAGGCCATTCGGGGCTAGGTGGTCCAAGCTCCGCTTCACATCACATTAGAACTGCAGGGACCCTGCACGTAACAATATCACTGGAGAGTTATCGATATGCAATCTTCTAGGTGCATTAGGCATTGAGCTCTTCTTGATCAAGGCTGGGTAATATCTGAATTCGCTCACTTTCCGCTCACTCACGTTCTTGCTTCGGCGTTCTCCTACCCCACCCTATCCTTACGGCATCATGGCTGCGTCACTAAAATTACCAGACTACGAAGAAGATGTAGATTTCAAAGCCCTTGCTCTTCAAGATGCCGAATTTGCGAAGGTTCTAGATGCGAACGCAGGTTATTTGAGCTTTTATGACCCACAAGCCGTAAAGTAAGCTCCTATCTTCAGACACCTCTACTTCGTATTATTCCAACTTCATTGCCATGCTTTATCTACTTGCCGAGACCATTATTGACCCATATATCTCTCTTATGATTTTATAGCGTTATAACGTTGGCTAAGCTCTTTTAGGCAATTGACGAAGAGTCTCTTAAAACGAGATTTTGGTCTTTGTATCGATCTGCCAGATGACAGACTGTGTCCGCCTGTGAGTACTGTTGAATTCCCACCTAAAGTGAAAAACCATTAGTAAAGTAAAATTTTATAGGTTCCTGTGCGGTCAGTTCATTTTCCAATTGTCCATTCAATTAAAATATCATTAGTACTACTTTTGATCTTATCTTGATCCATTCTTACTGCTTCTCTTGGTTGCTTACGCAATATCACTCCTTTTATTCCGGCTATTTCGAGTAGATCAAACCTAAATCTCCTTTTTCCGCTTACTATGTTTTACTTTTTCGTAGTTATTCTATAACCGCATCCCTGGAGAAGTTTGAGTCCCCTTAGCTCAAAAACCATTCCTATTTTATTTTTCACCTAATGTCTTCTCTAACTAAGTGCTACAGCTACAATTACGTTCGCTGGATCCAGGATATAATTGACACAACCAATCCAGCCTACACAGATGCGTATGACCCGAACCGCTATGTCACAGGCTTAGACATGTGGGATCCTCCTCCCAGCTCGTTTCTTTATCTTGAATCCTCATCATCTACACCAATTAACCTCCTCCCAGTGGCACCGGCGCCTCTGCCATTTACTCTCTTCTTCTCCTCCGCACTCGTTCCTCCTGGCTCATGTGCGGCACCGATATTGACTCCGCCTCCCTCGCTCACGCTACTACCAACATCGAAGCTAACGACCTCGCCTCGCGCATGCGACTCCTACAGACCTCACCTTCAGGCCCGCTCATCCCGCTCTCGGCACTCGGCCTCGACCGCCTTGACTTCACGATCTGCAATCCGCCTTTCTTCTCTTCTACAAAGGAAATGCACGACTCCCTGCGCGGCGAAGGCAAGAAAGGTAGGGCAAGCGCCGTGTGCACGGGCGCGGAAGTCGAAATGGTGACTACAGGAGGTGACTTGGGGTTCGTGCTGCGAATGGTGGAGGAGAGCAGGGCGCTGCAGGACAAAGTGCAGTGGTACAGCTCGATGTTTGGGAAGTTGTCTAGCGTTAATGTACTAGTTGCGAAGCTGAAGACGGTGGGGATTACGAACTGGGCAGTTTCGTGTCTGCATTCTGGTGGAAGGACGAGACGGTGGGCTGTGGCGTGGAGCTGGGGGGATATGCGGCCGAGGAATGTAAGTAAGAGTAGGCGGTGGTGGAGTGCAGATCTCTGATGTGAAACAGAATGTTGCGAGGCACGGTTTGCTAGCTCATGACATATTGCCTTTTCCGACGGAGTACCACATTTCCATCGCTAAGAATAATAGTAAGGCGGTGACAGTCGTTATCAACGACAAGCTTGAATCGCTTGATCTCCGCTGGGTTTGGAAAGAGGAGCGTATGGCCGGTGTTGGTTTAGCAGCTCAGAACGTGTGGTCACGCTCTGCGAGAAGAAAAAAATGGGAAGTGGAAACGAAGAAAATGGACGCAGAAGACATGGATAAAAATGAAGAAAAAGTGGCCTTATGTTTCAAGATTAGTGTTACGGAGCAAGAAGTGCAAGTGAGGTGGCTACAAGGCACTGATCAGGTGCTTTATGAGAGCTTTTGCGGCATGCTTAAGAGGCTTGTAGATAGTATTTCTCGATAGTATTGCTTGATGGCTCCAGCGGATAAAGCGCTGGGGTTGAAATCAGGTGTGAGAAGAATGCAGAGCTGCTCTATGTACAAGATGTGGCGTGAAGAAGAAGCCTAGGAGGAAAAGGGGGCATAGATAGGGGTATGTATGTTCAGAGCCATGAGCTGTGTGTCATGGCCCCAAGGCTCTACCCGCAAAGAAGGTATTGCGGATAAGAACTGCTAATAAGAGATATTTGAAAAGCAGAGTAAATCTTCAAGAAACCATCCACTCTTATTTCTTGGACCTTTGGCGATTCTATCACCATCCATATCATACCCATATACAATAACTATTAGTACCATCTCCAACCGCATATAGCCTTGATAACGCTAGCTTCATCTGCAAAAGCTAATTTGAGTCCTTGCCGACTCCTACTTTCTCAACCTACGAGACATTACTCGCTAAACCATCTTTTTTAGTATTCACAGAATCACAGGTATCCGCCGCTCCATCTCATAAGCAAGGCCGCATTAAAGTTATATTCCAGACTATGTTCTCCAATCCGTGCAAAAAAATTTAAACGAAAATCCTAAAAGTTTAATAGAACAGATGGTCCACCATCTCATAATAAATCTCCATCTCGTGATGATTCTTCGTCTCATACTAATTCTTGACCTGGTGTTCACCTGACAAATGCCGAATACTAATGGTACAGTTGTAAAATCACCGCTTGAAACGCTTTGGAGGTGGACAGACTTGCTAACAAGCAAGCTAAGCTGGCTTGGATTCGTGTGAGAGGGCGCGTAAAGATTAATTTGTAGTATAAGCTTACCTGCAAAATTACCAAAAAGGTTTGTAGAAGTGTATAAGATACTTAAATTAACCTATACACACTTTCTCGCGCGGATTTAAGCCAGCTTAGCTCGCTTATTGCAAGTCTGGAGATGAAAGCTTTGCACAGTAAAGCCACTGTGCCACAAGGCTAAAGCTGAATCTAACACTCTCCACTAATTCGCTCGATGCGAACCACGTGCAAGTCTAAACCCTTTAGCTCGAACGTCTTCAATATCGGCGGTCTAGGGATGTGATCTTACGATGAAGGATGATGATACGAATTATACCTAGCCTTCCGCACATGTCTAACCGAGTGGTCCAGAAATTGTCTCATGCATCAAGCCTAACTGGCCGGTTCAATTGAAGAAAGTGTAGCTTCTCTCATAGTGTTACAATTGATGAAGTAACGGTATATAAGAGCCTTGCAAAGATTCATGATCCCTCCAAAAAACATTCTCACACAGGTCACTCGCTTGAGCTTTGTATGCCCCTACCTCATAAAACTTATAGATTCTAGAATTTAATCGTCCGATCTTACAAATAGTAATTCTGTGTGGTTAGCTATTTTACTTGCCTAGAATATAAGTTTTAGAAGGACTAATCATACTCTGTCGCAAAGTAGCCTCTTCTAGTTATAACTAGTACCTTCCAGATAATTTAAATTATATAAAGTAAACTATTTTATCTAAAATATTATAAACTCTTTTTATACCATTGGAAGTGTATGCTAACATTATAGCTGCACTTTGTAAGCTTAGGCTTGTACTGCCCGGAAAGATGCCTAGAAAAGGCCGCCCTATATTAAAGGCCGTACATGTGAATTACAGATGCGTTAATATATGCTTTTCGAACAATACGGTTAACGCGGACGTTGAAGGAAATGTAAAGGGACGGTGTGCGTACCAAAAGGGACTAAGGTATAGAACGGAATGAATAATAAGGGTTAATGGGTGATGTAAAGTAAATAGAAACCAACCTTTCACTGGGCAAATCTCACCACTCGAAAATCGCCGGCCATGAAGTTCAGTCACAGCTTGAAGATAGTCATTTTTATAGCCATTCGATATCGCTACTTGATAAAAGTTTCCAAGGCGTCAAAATTATGCCCGAGGTAGAGGAATCCATCCCTAATGATTCGACACGAAAAGCAGCTTTTTTTAGCGCCCCGAGAAATATCTAGAGATAGCATTTTTCATGATCTGGTAGTTTAGATTACCCCATTCTCCAGGGCGGATGGAAGTCTACGGAGAGGGCTAATAGAGGAGAGCGACTGGATAGTTGAGGTGGTCATAGCGTATGAATTAGTGCTAATATCAGGGCCTAAGAGACATGATTCATCATGCTCTGCGTGGATGCTCTGTCCGTGGTTGAACTGTCTCGATGTCTCACTAAAATTCACTTTGTGCTACCAACGGTTGATCGAGGTACCCATCCAGGTGCCTAGGTAAGCTACATGAGGGGCCGGGCTCTAAAATTTGTCGCCAAGAGTACACTATGTACATTTGGGAAACTAAAAACCAAAATCACAAACTAAACCATAATTGGCTCTGACAGAGACCACCACTCCGCACAATTTCCAACCAAGTCGTCAAGGATTGAAGTTGTAATCATAGATCGAGGCACCATGTCAGTGATTGTAACTAGTACCTGAGGAAGCTTCTGCGCTCTGTGAGTATACTCACCGCTGCTAGAAGAGATCGTCCTGGGTCGCCTCATTGAAGCCTAATGCATGTTCGGAGAGGACGGATAATTTGGTAGAAGGAAAGCAGTTATAAAATTAATTAATTTCAACTGCACCCCAACAAGGGGCGGTAGCTCAGTGGTAGAGCGTGGGATTGCAGTCTGCAATTATCCTAAGGCCCCGTGTTCGACCCACGGTCGCCCCTTCTTTTTATAAATTTAATTTTTTTTAGTTCTTTTTTTCTCCCTAAATTATTACGCTTGAGCAGGCTCGCTTACACCAAGAGTCTGTTCCAATTACCTAATGTATCAATACAAAAAGGTAGATTAAAAGAAGTTCTGTTGGATTCTCTGACTAATAAAAGTCGTCGACTACCTTATGGATATAAATAGCGTTCATAGTATCCTTCTGCCACTATGTGAGGATGTTCTAACATATAAATACACAGGTTCTCTCAGGGCGACGATACTAGTTCATGAAGGAGTCGTCTGAATTTGCAGTGCGTTGCCTCTTCGCAGTAAGATCCTTGATGGCGGCACACCCAGACCCACCGTCTGTTTCCTATGTAATTGAAACCCAGTCATTATTCTCCTAAGAAAGCAATCATCAAGAATCCTACGGGAAAACAAATATGAACGCCATACAAACTTCTAGTCATGCAGCAAGAGGAAAGTTGAAGTATAAAAGCCGTACCTAGCCGCTCGGTTCTGATTGGCCAATGGCAAATCAACCGCGCCCTTCGATTCCACTCCGCAGCGACAAAATCCGATGTCGCAAACATGACTCCTCCATCCTATGAAGCTATGAGCATATAAGAATAACCTCATATAGCTGCTCCGTTTCTCATGCTTTCATATAAATTAGCTTGAGTATTAACTTCTGGCTTTGTTCTTTATCTGTTGTTCGAGATTCTGAAGTGCCATTATTGGAGCCATAATGGCGTCTACAACCCTGCCGATGCGTGAGAAGTACACGTTGACGGAGTCCGGTGGTGCTGGAGAGGAGAGAGGGAAGATTCGGTTTGGTAGAGAGATGAGGAAGCAGTTTCTATTTGATGAGAAATATTTGAATCTGAATCATGGTAATTTTGAGCCGTCCATTGCTTCATTGATTTCTATATTCGCGACTGAACTTGGGATACCGAAAAACCCCCCGAACTACTGTACTAGTTTTGATTAATTCTGCTACTTTCTCTCCGTAAAACCACTGCTGCAATCAATTGTTTTCATGCACCGTCAGGTTTCCATATCTAATTACCATGCTACAACATGATCCGTCTAGCTAATAACCCAATTCTACTAGGATCATTTGGCACCTACCCAAAGCCCATCCGCGACGTGATGCGGCAAATACAAGACCAAACCGAAGCGCGCCCTGACGCCTTCATCCGGTACACCTACAAAGAATTACTTGATGAATCACGTGGCGCCATGTCGACGATGCTTAACGTGCCCGTTGATACTCTTGTCTTTGTACCAAATGCAACCACTGGCATCAACACCGTCTTGCGAAACCTTGTATTTGAACCTGGAGACAAGATCATGTATTTTGCAACAATCTATGGGTCTTGCGAGAAAACGGTTGAGTATATTACCGAGACTACGCCAGCTAAGGCGGTTAAGGTGCAATACACGTATCCGGTCTCGGATGATTGGCTTGTCGATGAGTTTACAAAGAAAGTGCGGGAGGAGAAAGAGGCCGGAAACAAGATAAGGATCGCCATCTTCGATACCGTAGTTAGCATGCCCGGAGTCCGCATGCCATTTGAACGGCTTACGCAGGTATGCAAAGAGGAGGGTGTGTTGAGCTGTGTTGATGCTGCGCATGGGGTTGGACATATTGATATGGATTTGGGGAAATTGGATCCAGATTTCTTGGTTACTAATTGTCATAAGTAGGTTACTCTCTATTCTGCTACACCAGATCTGCAACTCAAACAAAAAGGCTGGATTGCTGCTCTATGAGCGAGAAACTAGTGTTCTTGGAGAAAGTTCTGAGCTAACTTTATGAAGGTGGCTCTTCGTGCCCCGCGGCTGCGCGCTCTTTTATGTTCCAGTGAGAAACCAATACCTCTTGCGATCTACACTTCCAACTTCTCATGGTTTTATACCAACACCAAGGCCGGGTCAACAAATTACGAATCCACTTCCAGCAAGCATAAAGTCGCCATTCGTAACCAACTTTGAATTCGTGGGCACAATCGATAATTCACCGTATCTTTGCATTCCTGCCGCTTTAAAATTCCGGGAGTCCATTGGAGGGGAGGAAGTTATCCGGGATTACTGTATGAGTCTCGTTTGTACGGCTGGGAAACTCGCAGCGGAAGCTTTCGGAACGGAGGTGTTAGAGAATGAAGAAAGAACCTTGGGAAATTGCTGTTTCAGTAATTTTAAGCTTCCTCTGAAACTAGAATCTGTCCAAGCTGTAGTGAAGAAGTTGGGTGGGAAGGAAGTGGGCGTCGAAAGCGTAGTCAGGGATTGGATGAGCTTGAAAATGGTTGAGGAGTACAACACATTTCTGGCTATATTTTTCTACGGAAATAGCTGGTGGGTTAGATTTAGTGGGCAGATATATTTGGAACTTGCAGATTTTGAATGGGCCATTGATGTATTAAAGACGCTCTGTGACAGGACATTGGAGGGGGAGTTTTTGAAATGAATAAAGGCCATGGGTAGATACAAGCGGGGAGGTGTCCTGGAGGAAAAGCTCTCATGATTAGTCAATGTTACTTCTTGGTTCCGACGGCATTTGAAAAAGTATTGTTGTCCTTTTGCCGTAGCCTTTGATTGAGTCCAGGGGTATATCGCCAGCAGGTTGAGCACACGCATAATGCAGAGCCAGAGCATTGGCCTCTTCGGCCTTACGGAAAGCCAATGTGGCATCTGCACCACCCAAAACAGGACCTTGGGGTCTCATTCAAATATAAAAAATACTATTAGTTGAGGCAGTAAAGGAACGTTGTCATACTCAGCCAGTGGTGTAAGCCAGGAGTCGCCGAATTGCGGAGGCTACAGTTAATATGAGAAGCTCGGAGCTAGTTGGCCGATCTTTTACCGTGTTTATGTAGCTCAATGCGGTGGACTGACCTTTTGCAAATTTGTCATCAGCATCCGAGCTCCGAGCGGGAGTAGCACTTGTCTTCCCGAGCGCACTGGTATTGTCAGCATCTCTTTAGCATTGTGCCACGGACACCGCAACGCAGACGAATCGCGAGCTCGACGTACCTGGAGCTACTCCGACAAGGGCCAAATACGGAAGTATGCGCCCGGCGGATTGGTAATGTGGGAATAGGTTCCGCCATAGTTGGGCGTTGGAGGATGAGAATGAGGGGCCATGAGATCGTCGTCTGGGGTCCAGGAGTCCAGTTGCTACCTAAGGATTGATGTATAAGTAGAGCTCAATTTCTCCCTAATCAAATCTGTTGTCTTGCAATCTCAATCGGGTGTCTCTTCAAACTATAAAGCTTCGCGAACATCAGAAATACCCTTAACTTCATCACAAACTTACCGTCATGACGAAACCAATAACTCTTTATGGGCACGCCACAGGGCCAAACCCGTGGAAGGTTGCTATTTTGCTCGAGGAATTGAAATTGCCGTACAAGACCGTGAACGTTCAATTCCCAGATATGAAGAAAGAGCCGTACGAGTCGATAAACCCTAATGGTCGTGTCCCTGCCATTACGGACCCTAACACCGGCGTCACTATGTTCGAGGTAATACCTATCAGCCTATGCGATCAAGATCACAATGCATAACTAATAACTCTTTTTAGTCCGGCGCCATCCTCGAATATCTAATCGATACCTACGACAAAGAACACGAATTGTGCTACACTACTTCACCAGAGAAGTGGCTCACCCTCTCCTGGCTGCACTTCCAAATGTCCGGGCAGGGCCCATACTATGGTCAGAAAGCCTGGTTCTCCTTCTACCACCCAGAGAAGAACATAACCTCCGCGATTGAACGATATAGCAACGAGATTAAACGCGTCATCGGCGTCATCGACCGACACCTGAAGAAACAGGGTACTGAGTACCTTGTCGGAGATAAGTGCACATTTGCAGACTTGGCATTTGTACCGTGGCACCAGATAGTGCCAAAATTGGTTGATGGCTGGGATTACCAAACGGAGGCGCCAGCGTTTCATGCCTGGAATGAGAGGTTGCAGAATAGGCCCGCTGTGAAGAAAGTCTTTGAGGACAAGGCTAAAGCAACGGCTGCGGAGAAGCAATGATTTGATAATGTAATAGCTTAGCGGCTGTGAAAAGTGAGTGGGTTGATCGACTATTTAATGTTCGAACAATCTACGAACGCAAGAATTGAAGCAATCTTCTACGAGTTTAATAATCCTACGTTTCAAACACTTTTTCGTAGACCTTTTACCCACTCTGCACTCTAAAATGCTCTCCAATCTCTTCTACTTGCTCCCTTCCACACCCATTTCGCCTTTAGAATATCTGCTTAGGGTAGACTTGCTAACAAGCAAGCCAAGCTGGCTTGAATTCGTGCAAGAGCCTTGTAGCGGCCGACATATGGCTATCGTGTAATGAAGACCAGAAGATAAGAGGCCTGTAAGCATTTCCAAGCAACCAACTCCTATGACCCCCCCGCCCCCACAAACATATCCCAGAATGAAATACTACCACCTTCCATCTCTTCCTGGCAGTCAGAAAAAAGCATCACCCCCACGTGAAAGCATACCTATCTGAAAGCAGCCAAGGCCTACTCACGAGCAAAGAGGTGCCAGCTGTAAACTTCTAAGTGCCTTGTCAGAGTAAGGATACTCTTCGATCTTAAAAGTATCTTCTTCCGGTAGGCTTAGCAGCGAAAAAATCCACCCCTTAGAGAAGAAGCAGCAAGGTTTAACGGCATGAAAACAGCTCGATTTAAACGAAGACCCTTGTTTTAAGGTCATACAGAGGCAAACGTGGTGATATAATATTATTAATGCTAGGGAACTGGCACGAAATTGAGGTTATAAAAAGTTGTCTTGCTATCTAGACTCGAGGAAGGAGTTATATACCCCTTTTCCCCTTAGAAATTACATAAGCCATGCCTTCCTTATAATCTTATAACAGGAACCGGGAAATTTTTGCATAGCATATCGTACTACACAAAATCACTGGTTCCAAATGATATAAGTACTGATAGGATTATAAAGGTGTAGGCCTGAAAATACAGCAAAGAAAAAATCATGCGAAGC